TTTTGTTCTTGTCCCCTGTATTCGGCGGCGTCGGTTAAGAGACAATAGGTTAATCATGCCAGGCAGGACACTTGCATCCATCCAACCGTGAGGGCTAGCTTGATACAAGCGCATCCATAATATAAGAGGATGTTTATGATTTGTGTATGGAGGCACTCTGAACTTTTTTTTGTTTGCACAATAATAATATTGAATTTGTGTGATTTGTCTGATTGCTTATGCTTCTGGCAGATGAGCGATTTTATTTGACAGATGGATTGTAACTTGCCTAGTGAACTATAAACTAATTTTTGAAATATCTCCACAATCAATTGATTTCTGGTTACTGCAAAATGGAAGCATGGTAGAAATTAAAAAAATTGTGTGATTGCACCTGATAGCAAAGCAGTACTACTTGCAGGCATTATGTTTTTTGATCCCCTTGTTTCCTGTTGTGTGTACTGAGAAAGTTTGTTTTTGCAGCTAAGAGGGCATGGGCCTCGACCTCCACGGATGGTGGCCAGATCGAGCGGAGCTTCCCTTCCTCTGCCTGGCGGGGCAAGGACAAGGACAAGCAGCAACATCATCGCATCATCAAGGTTCGATCCCCCTTGTTGCAATCCCTCCCTCCCTCATGTTGAATTGATGTTGAATTCAAGCCAAGGTACCCATGATTAACCTCTGGGTAATGATGCTCTGAATACTGTTTGCTACTGTTACACTGTCTTGTTGATTTCTTTTAACAATCATACCTAGCTAAAATCTTCTTGTCCACAGCAAAGCAGCCTCATCCTCTTCATGCTGGCTCGACTGCCTCTGATTCTTCCTGTTTGCTGCCTTGCCTTGCAGATGCGGCAGCTCAAGGGCGAGGTCGACATCTTCTCCAGGGCCGACGGGTCGGCGCTGTTCGAGATGGGCAACACCAGGGTCATCGCCGCCGTCTACGGCCCCTGAGAGGTAATCGCTTTTTTCTTTGCACACCAACTCTTCTATTCGATGCCATGGCTATTAGGGCTTTGGCTCCCGGGAGGTCTCTAGTTAATGATCGGTATTGAGAGATTTTGGTGGTTACTTATGCTTATTGTGTATCACATTGAAAAAGAAAATGCACAATGAGCTTACCTTTGTATATCAGGATTTTTTCTTCATCGGTTACTGGTATTTGGCTTCTATGTGCTAATTAAACCTGATCAGTATGTATACTTCTTTGATGTTGTATAATATTGGTGTCAAAGGAGTTAATTTAAACCGGATATGATCTACTGGAACAATTACGGTTAAATTCTGGTTCTTTGTTTCAAACATCTAAATGATGTTTAATTTGTCCTTCTATGCTTACATGATAAAAATGTCGCATTTATAGGATTGTAAACCTGATGTGATTGGAGTAGTATTTACTTGCTGCTGATAGTAACTACTTGTATCCACTGATTTCGATGCCTCATTTTGCTTGTTTTACTTTATTTATGCACAGACTGCCTACAAGTTAATGTGCTTTTAGATTTGCCTTTATTTTGCTCCTTACCATATTGTTTGATAACTTGCAGATGCTGTACTTCATTCGTGTTTCGTCGTGGCCAAGAAGTGAAGAAGCATTGAGTTCTAGCTCATTGGAGCTAGTTATACTCTGATAGATAGTTATATTTTGATATTTAGTTGTGTTCTTGGTGGCTGTAAACCTGATGTGAAGTATGTTCGATTATGAACGTGGTGTATGTTTGATTGTAAGGTGCCAGATTTGGTTGTTGAAGTATTGCTTCTGTTTTCAATCAGTTCTGATTTAAATATTTGTTTTTATTTACTAGAAAATCAAAATTTGAAGAACATGACTCTGACCATTGGGACCCACTCAAACCCATCTGACTATTGGATATGTCTTAAAAAAGAAATGTAACTAAAAAAAGAAATGTAACTGTTGAGCCAAAAAGGCCATGGCCCAAAAACGAAAGGCCCAATTGTTGGGTCAGGCCAATGTAGAAATCAAAACTATTAGAAAAAATAACCCATGTAGCTAGAGAAAATATACAGTAAAAAGGCCGAATTGTTGGGCTAGGCCCATGTAGAAAATCGAATTGAAACGGGCTGAATCTTGTGCCACATCAGATTGCCATGCTGGATGCCTACGTGGCCTGGGGAGGTTGCTAGTGACCAAAATGCCACGGTAGACGTATTTTGGTCATAAACGTCTACGGCCATTTCAGAAGAAAGGTCGCTATAGTCAGTTTATGACTGCCAGCTTTTAACCTTATGTTTTTGGTCACAAAAGGTCACAAATTGAAAACAGTGACCAATAGTGCTGGTCACATGTTGACATATTTCTTGTAGTGACTTTCGTTCATTTCCTGGTATCAAGTAATCATTTTTTTTGGGCAGGGTTTGGAAGAAGTTCACCAGAATGGTTCCGGGTCTGAATAAGGAGCTGCGATTTACACACCTCAAAGTAAGTAATACTAGCTAGTTCCGCGCATCTCTCATTGATTGTAGTTTCATCAATGCCATTATCATGCTTGATTATCATTTTGATTGAACTATATTCTCGTAAAGTGCTTGTGGCAGGCATCCGAGAATAATTTATGTGGATACTATGTTTGCGAGTTCATTCGCTACTCGACATCTGAGCGGGGCTTCTCTGACGAACAATTTGAAGTACGTAAACAATATTCACAATTTTATTTTATTTCCATCAATTGTGTTGACTTTCATTCATATATATGTATTGACCCCCTTCTTAAAATTAGATGTGGGAGAAGCGGAATGAAGTCCTACCACATGATCGCATACGAGCAATTCAAGAGGAATTGGTGGGATTCTTTGTTGACCATGTCATACCTGAACACAGAGAATATCATATGGAATTGCAAATAGATTTGGGTAGATGATGTCAGGGATCGTAAGAGATGTTATATTGTATATATGTAGTAGCGTTGGATAGATGTACGAAAACTTGTTGTTCGACCAAGCACGGAGAAAGAGAGGTCACTTCTCTTTATATATGTTCATGATGATTTTGTGTAATGGTTCCTTCATTGCTAGCTAGCGTCGAATTGAATGGAAAACATTAAATAAAAATGAAACCCTAAATGTAAAAGAATTGAAGGGTAAACACAAAAATAAAAGGGGGAAAGACAATATGAAAACCCCTAAACCCCTCCTTTCAAAAAAAACCCAGCGCCTGACAGCTGCTGACACGTGGCTGCCTTTTAGTTCTGGTCGATGTTACCAACCGGGATTAAAAATCCTCCTGCCTGGGCACCCCACAGCGGCCACGTGTAGCCCTTTTAGTCCCGGTTCGTAAGCCAGCCGGGACTAAAAGTGATGGGCATTAGTCCCGATCGTTTTGTCCCGGTTGCAGAACCGGGACTAAAGGCCCTTTGAAACCAGAACTGATACCCTGTTTTCTACTAGTGTCTTCTTCAAAATGGTGAGGCGGCAACGGCATCATCAAATGAGAAAATAAGGGCGTCCCCACCCTATCCTTGCTCTAGTGGTGTGCCTAGCGCAGACAGAGGGCATGTGGAGTTGTTTTTCCGACGGATCTCCTGGGATTAGGTTGGTTTTTGTGTTTGTTGATGTGGTTCAAGGCCAGAGCGTTCTGATCTATGGTTCTCATCGTTGACAATAGATACTATGATGCGTTGGTTTTTTGGGGGCTTAGCACAAAGAATTTCCGTTCGTTCATCATAACAAAGCTCTAGTACGTATGGCAAACTTTGCCCGGTCCTGATGATGGAAGGGCAAGTACGGCGGCCCATCTTCGGCTCACACAGTGTCTATAGTCATCGCTAGATGGTCCAAGGACCGATTTATATTATTATTATTTTATTACTTTCGGCTCCCGTTGATGATTATTTTTTATTACTTTCGGCTAGGTGGTCCAAGGACCAAATCGCTCTGTTGGCCGGCCGGTTGCATTCTTGTACCGGCGTGGCGTCGTAACTAGAGGGAGGGAGGGAGGCCATGGGTTTCTGGAAGGCCCTGCAGCCGTACACGCGGCAGCAAGGCATGGGGTTTCTCCGCGTCGCGGTCGCCGTCGCCGTCGACCTCTCCTCGTGGATCGTCTCCGGCATGAGCACCATCTCTTTCCACACTACTTATCATGCGTTGCGTTGCGTTGCATATACTTGAGGATTTGGAATGAAATACCAAGTGCGTGCGTGCGTGCATTGGGCATCTGGGAATGCCAATACTCCAGGCAAAGGCCAAAGGCACTGTGCGCTCGCTCAGTTGAATCGTGACGGCAAGGTGGACGTACGCCTGCATTACCTCTGACAGCGATGCCTTCCTTTGTGGACGTGGAGGAGCCAACAGTACTGTCATCAAAGTATTTCTACACGTACACTGATGATGAGGCATTTCCTAATGAAGCACTCCCTTTCTACGTATCATGCATGTCATCTTTTCTGTCGTTGCGTCTTGCTAGCTACTCTATCTCTCTCTCTTCATTTTACTTCAATTTCAGCTGTTTTAAACGACTTACAAAAATGGACAGAGGGAGTAGCTAGCCAGAACAACATTGTCCAAAGGCGCACGCCCAGACCCAGCTGGGTGCAGCTTAGCATCAAGGATTTCTACGGCTCCAAGAAGCCTCACGTAGAGATGGGCCAGGTGTCTCAGCGACGCCGTGCCGCTTGCTGTTGGTCTGAAACCTGCATATATCTCTCCTTGCTTGCATATGTATGTATGTATGTATGTATGTATGTATGTATGGCAAATCGATCAGGAGGTGCATGCATGCACGTAGGCGCGCCTTATAACGGTCATTGTTATTAGAGCAAGACTTATATTTACGAACGGAGTGAGTATTATATTGCTCCCTTCATTTATTTTTGTAAGTGATTTCAGACAACTCAAATGGACTGTTTTGTACATTGTTTGAAATGTCTTCAAGGTCTTATAAAAATGAACGGAGGGGGTAGTATATTACATAGTATTATATGAGAAAGAAAATTAAGGAAAAGACTAGTAGATAGAAAGAAAGAAAATACTAATACGAGCATGCATGCAGTTATATATAGAGGTAGCTAGAGTTGTTTGGCGATGGCCTTGAGCGCATCTCGAACGTAGGGGTAGCGGTAGGAGAAGCCGAGCTGGGTGGCCTTGGCCGGGAGCACCTTCTGACCATCCAGCACCACCGTCGCGCCTTCTCCCAGCAGAGCCTTGATGGCCAGCCCCGGCACCGGCAGCCAGGACGGGCGCCCCACCACCTGCCCCAGCCGGTCGCACAGCTCCGACAGCCGCACCGGGTTGGGCGCCGTGCCGTTGATGATGCCCGTGTAGGCCGGGTTCCGCAGGGACTCGTAGATGAGATCCACCAGGTCGTCCAAATGAATCCAAGAGAACCTATATATATGTACATCACATTCACATCACATCCAAGAGAACCTATATATATACAGCAAAGAAGAAGAAAGAAGAAGAAAAAGAAGAAGAAGAAAAAGTGCAGAGACCATTGTGTTCCTGTGCCGAGCGGCCCACCGGCAAACATCATGAAGAGGGGGATCATCTTGGCCAGAGCGCCGCCGTCCTTGCCGAGGACGACTCCGATCCGAATGAGCACCAGCCGGACGTGCTCCTGCTTCACTTGCCGTGCCCGGCCCTCCCATTCTCGGCATACATGTGCCAGGTAGTCGTTGCCTGATGGGCTGGATTCATCGAAGCTGTCCGTCTCGCTGGTGCCTGCAATTCATTCATTCTTGTATTTTTGGTTAAAAAAAGAAAGATTGATTGATTAAGCTGCTTGCTTGATCAAATCAAATCAAATCAAATCAAATCAATTTAAGAAGAAGAAGAAGAAGAAGAAGAAGAAGAAAAGAGTACCATACCGTAGTAGCCGACGGCTGTTGCACTGACGAAAACAGAGGGACCATTGCCATTGCTGCTAGTATTGATGTGATCCACAACCTAGGTTCAGTTTAATCCCATGGATCAAATTCAGTTCAATTGTTGATGCATCCAGATTAGGCGATTAAAAACGAGAGGACGACGACAGACTAAATTGAAGCATGCATGCAGACATATGATGCAGATGCAGTACAAGTAGAGTAGAGTAGCTACGTACCTTTGAGGTGACATTCACTCGGCTCTGCAGAATTTCGCTCTTAACCTGCATGCATGTATGCATCATTGAGGTCGTATCCATCAACTAGCTAACCATGCAAGTGAATTTGAAGACAAGACTAGAACTAGAACTAGAACTAGAGTACCTCTGGTGACCACCTGGTGCTGATGGGCATTCCTGCCAGGTTGACAACACCAGTTGAGTCCCTGATGCATCGCTCCCAATCTCCCTCCTTGTCCGCGATGGTCACGCCCGGATACCTCGAAGCTGCATTCCATTTCCATTTCAATTTCCATTTATATTTATATATAGGAGTAGAAGAATAAATAGAGTATAAGAGGAGTTGGTAGTGTGCTTACCAGGGAAAACAGAGGAGGCCTTGTTCTTGGAGGTGGAGCGTGTCAAGACGCACACCTTGTGATCCTCTGCTTTTCGATTGCATTCAGTTTCAGTTTCATTTTCATTTTCATTCAGGCATGCGTGAGTCAGTCAGTGGGTGAGATGAGATGCAAATTAAAAGAGCAGAGCAGATACCGGATAGGAGCTTGTCGACGAGCCTGCGTCCGATGAACCCCGTGGCTCCGGTGATGGACACAGTCATCATCGATGAGCTGGAGGAGACCTCATCGCCGCCGCCGCTGCTTGTGCTTGAACAGAAGCAGCAGAATCCTCGCCGCTGTCTGCTACTCCTCCTAGTCGTCGTGCTACTCCTACTCGGTTGGAGATGGGGTTGGGGTTGGGGTTGGGAGGAGGGAAACAAGACGCGGATGGCCATTGCTGGCCTCCTCCCCGCTAGCGCTAGCGCTATCAGGAGTGCCCGCCTGCACCAGGGGTGGGGGTGGGGGTGGTGGTTGGATAAGGAAGCAAGGAGGCAGATGGTTGGGTTGGTTCTCTGCAATGGGCCACCAGGATACGACTCCTTCCTTTCTTTCTGGTAGGCTTTGCTTTGTTGGCAAGATATGAGCCGGACCACCCCCAACGGCCAGCCACACGGCCACGGGGGCTACTAGTTCCACTCGATTAAGGGCATCCCCAACCGCAACATGCAAAAATCCGCGAGCAGAAAGGTCAATTCGTGTACATTTCGCCAGTGCGTCCTCGAGAGGACCAAGGAGTACCCCGACGAGCAGATGAGCGTGTCGATCGGCGGATTAGTTGCCCACCAGCCCCAACACCCTGGTGACACCCTGTAACAAAAATGGATCGGAGGCGACGCGACTCACTCCGTCCAGAAGGGACTCGTGACCCCGTTCTAGCGCCACCGCTGGGTCGCTCCTTTGCCGCCGCCTCACCCCGACGCCTCTTCCTCCTCCACCACACCTTCCTCCCCTCGCTGTCGCCTGAGGCGCCCTCCAGCAAAGTCCGGATGGCTTCGAGGAAGGCGGCGGCGGGGCCCTTCTCCGGCTGCTCGGCGCTGGTATGGCAGATGTGATTCATGGATCAGGGATGGCGGTCCCTTTGGTGAGTCTTCCCCGTCCAGTGGCGCGGCGCGGCGGGTGGGCTGCCAGGGATCGAATCGGGTGGCCAGCGATTCACCTGCAAGTTGGTGTCACGGCTTGATGCCCCAGCGGCCAATGGCGCCAAGCTGCTCCTTCCTCCAACCAATGGTGTGTGCACTCTATCTTACTGGACATGGTCGTGCTGCTAGCCGGTTACTAGATTGGGACGCGGCGGGAGGCGGGATCCGGATTGGGATAATTCCCAAGTCGTCCTACCGGCTACGACGGCGACGACACCCATGGGTACCCTTTTTCTTCCTGGAGATGTCGTTCGGGTCCGCCCTACCTTTTCCCACCTCATGGTCTCTCGAGTGAAAACCTAGGGCAGCGACGACGCTCTTGGCGTCGTGTCCTTTTTGAAGGTGTCGTCGTGAGAGCTATGTGGCAGTGGGCACCGCTTAGGTGCGTCGGCAGTTGCAGGTGAAGTGCCCCTCTTCCTCAAGGTGGCAGTTGTTCCGGGGGAAACCACAGATCTGGGTCTCCCGGATCGGATGATGACGGAGACTTTGGTGTCGTTCTCCCTTCTGGGGGCATCGTCTTGGAGCACTGTGATACGTCTCCAACGTATCTATAATTTATGAAATATTCATGCCATGTTTACAACAATTGTATATGGTTTTGGTATGATTTGAATAGAACTAACCCGGACTAACGTTGTTTTCAACAGAACTACCATGGTGTTATTTTTTGTGGATAAATAAAAGTTCTCGGGATGGGCTGAAACTTTTTGACGGTTTTTTGGAACAAAAAAACCCCCGAAGCTTCGTGGGAGGACCAGAAGAGCTACGAGGCCCACACAAGCCACCAGGGCACGCCCAAGGGGGTCAGCTTGCCGTGGTGGCTTGTGGGCTGATACGTCTCCAACATACCTATACTTTTTTATTGTTTCATGTTGTTATATTACCATTCATGGATGTTTTACAATCATTTTATAGCAACTTTATATCATTTTTTGGGACTAACCTATTGACATAGTGCCGGTGCCAGTTGCTGTTTTTTTGCTTGTTTTTTTACTTCGCAGAATATCAGTACCAAATGGAGTCCAAACACAACGAAACTGATTGGTGATTTTTCTGGACTAGAAGACATCCAGTGGGCCAAAGAAGTACTAGAGGGGAGGCTCGAGAGGAGCACAACCCACCAGGGCGCGCCCTGATGGGTTGTGCCCACCTCGGTGACCTCCCACACCGCCTCTCACACCACTATAAATTATGATATTTGGTTGCGGTTAAGGATATTGCAGTTAACATGCCTTTTCGTTTTTAACAATAACTAGTGTACCTTAGACCTGTACAATACCAGTTTGAATGACTATTTGCTTATTTTTAAATGTTATGCCTGATGCAGTTAACACACCTTTCCACTTCTTGTTTTGCTTAACTAGCGTTCTTAAGCCTCCACACTGAAGCTATCATTTGTAGATTATGTTGTCTACCATGGATATATTTGGTTGATGTTTAGCCTATTGTGCTTAAAATGCCTTTATATGTACTCATGAAGGACAATATTGAGAACAGTGTTGTTTTCCATCGAGGTTAGTTTCATCACATTGCTTATATGTACTCACTGTTCAAGATATCGGTAGCTGGTACCATATAGCCTGGGGCTGATAAGAGATTAATCGTCGAATCGGACATTTCACTGAATATATCTGTAACCCATTTATCAGTAGGTTAACTAGGGTCATATTTAATATATCTGAGGGTACATAGCAACATACATTGTACTGAATGACTAAATATGCAATTCCAGGCTACATAGCAACAAGGAAGAGTCTTACCTTAATGTTCTGATGATGTCTAGGTATACATGTAATAAAATCTTATATAATGGGATGAAGGGAGTGTTGAACTACATCATTTTTCAATTGTTGTTTAGCTTCTAATATCAACTTGGTACTTTTAGGTACATATATCATTGCCAAAGTTCCACACTTTGACCCTTTCTGGGGCAATGAGATATTCATGAACCAGCATGAAGTGAGGAAACTGATAAAGATTGTTATTAAAATGGGTCCAAAGACGTCAATCAAACTATTTGTTTACACTTTATGCAAGACAATAGTGAACTCAGGATGGTAAGTAAGAACCATGTAGCCTTCTTTTTACTGTCCGTAATGAGTTGTGTTAGATGACAATGTCTGAATCTTTTTTCTTTTGCAGTGGATCCTGAAGCAATTTACTCAAGATTACCTCTCAAACTACATGATTGGCGGTCGGGCATCACAAGGGGTTGAACTAGAGTCATGCATGCCTTTTGCATCTAGGAGAGCACAATAGGGTCATTCCGCTTCACCTTGTTGAGCAACCAGAATGTTTGTCGCCTTTTTCTTTACCGTCTGTAATACTACAAGTATAGAACCCTGGTTCATCATTCTTTATTTGGTGCTTATGTAATTCTTAAACATATGTGCTTGTGAATCAAATAATACATTGGCTGTTCGAACCTGATGGATATGAATAAAGCTCCCGTGCCTAGAATCTGCCTGGAAAACTCCCGTGCTTGGAATCTGCCTGGTTTTAGTTAAAACCATGAAACTCCGACTGCGATGGCAATGCGAGCACAAAGCGAGTAGCAAGGATGAAGCGTTTGGGATATTCGAGATATCGAAACGGTTATATAGGGACAACTGTATGCACCAAGGCTCCCTATCCCCGACGGTTTCTGGGTCGTGTGGGAAGGACCCCCTATCGCCGTCACTCACTAGGCGACGGTTCCACATGCCATCACGGAAAGGTGTTAAAAACCGTTTGTATAGCACCGACGCGTACTAGTGAGTTGAAATACAATTAATCTGTATTTTTCTTCCTATTTGGAAGCAGTAGCATCCCCTCCTTCTTCTTCCTCTCCTAATTCAAGAATAAGAAGAAGAAGAAGAAGAAGAAGAAGAAGAAGAAGAAGAAGAAGAAGAAGAAGAAGAAGAAGAAGGGGATCTATCTATCCACCTTATCTATGTACAGTACAATAAGAAGAAGAATAAGAAGAAGAAGAAGAAGAATAAGAAGAAGAAGACCGGTAACGACTGGTCGGTAGTACCTGACCGATAACGCCTTGTCGGTAGTTCCTGACCTGTAACGCCTGGTCGGTAGTCCCTGACCAGTAGCGCATGGTCGGTAGTCCTAAAGTTTTCTGTTGAGTTTTCTGTTGTGGAGTTTGCTTTTCTTATACTAACAGATCTTATGAGTCTTCTATTGAGTTTTGTGTTGTGAAGTTTTTAAGTTTTGGGTAAAGTTTTGATGGACAACGGAATAAGGAGTGACAAGAGCCTAAGCTTGGGCATGCCCAAGGCACCCCAAGATAATATTCAAGGACAACTAAGCATCTAAGCAAGGGGATGCCCCGGATGGCATCCACTCTTTCGTCTTCAATCCATCAGTAAACTTACTTGAGGCTATATTTTTATTCACTACATGATATGTGTTTTGCTTGAAGCACCTTGTATGATATGAGTCTTTGCTTTTAGTTTGACACAATCATCCTTAATGTACACACCTTTCGAGAGGGACACGCATTAATCGTGAATTTTTTAAAATACTCTATGTGCTTCACTTATATCTTTTGAGCTCTTCTTTTCTAGTCTCTTCCAATTCCTCGTCGCAACAAAGAAACAATGCAACGAAGCGACCTGCCAGCGTGCCACGATAATGGACCGACGAAAGTGAAGCCAAACTAGCCAACAAAAGCATGCACGACGAACAAAAGTGACTAAAGAGGCGGAGGGGAGGGGGGTCGAGCGCTTGCATGAAAACTACATAAACTAAAAATGAACGATGGTAAACTTAGATGAGACATCGTTTCATAACAAATCACAAATTTAGAAGGTGTTCACAAACTTTTTTTTTCCAAAGTTTATGAAAATACTCACAAACTTATTCATGAATTTGAAAAAAATGGAAAATAAATAAATAAGAGAAAACAAAAAAGTCATATAGGAAAAATAGATAAAAGAAAAAAGAACAAAAAATACTACTAGTTTTTTTAGATGAAAAATACTACCTTGGTTCATGAAACAAACAAACGAAAAAAATAAATATTGACCACAAATATTTTTCAAGCCCATAAACAAGCAAAACAAAAAAAAACAAAAAAGGGCCGAGCCCATCCTTCCTATGATCAGACAACAGACCGAAAGAAAAAAAGAATAGGGCATCACGACTCACGACGAAGGGAGCGCAGGACAGAACGAGGATGATATTTACAGTGCAGAACAGATCGAATGGCTAAGAACTTAGATGTGATCGAATGGCTAAGAACTTAGATGTGCGATAACTAAATC